GTCTCTACTCTCTCTCTTCTTCTCTTCTTCTCTCTCTCTCTCTCTCTCTCTCTCTCTCTCTCTCTCTATATATATATATATATATATATAATTATATATAGTAAAAAAGTTCTTAGGTTGCACGATAGTCAGTTGTTATATTAAAAAAAAGAAGAATCCGACATTTAGTTTTACATGCACAAGCGCTTTCATCTTTATAGAATTTTCAGGTGATTATTTAGTGATTATATATAATTCATATATATATAAATATATAAATATATCTTTCTCTCTCACTTTCTCTCCCTCCCTCTCTCCTGTTTTTTTCATTCCCCTCTTCTTTCTGTCCCCAACTCATACCTCTCTCTCCTTCTCTCTGGCATTCTTTCTCCCCCTCTTCACTTCATCCCCCCTTTATTATCTTCCATTTTCCCATCGTCCTTTCTTGATACACTCCTCTTCCCTTCACTTCCTCCTTCTCTATCTTTTTCCCTTTCCTTGTGCCCTCTTTCGCTTGCTCACACTTCTCGAAAGCGAGCAACTCATAAGCTCGTATATAGCTCTGTCCCGGATGCAAACCCTATCTATAAGTTTTTCTTACTTATATATATTTATGTTTTATACAATTTCTATATTTATCGAAAACTATTTTCGGTGTCGCCATTCTTACAGGTGTGTGCAGTCCTCTGCGCATGTTAAATCAGTTCTGCTCCCTGAAACGCGATATGCCGTGGATGTGTCCCTGTGTGATCTCAACCAGCTGCCAACCCATCAACGCTCACGCGCACGAGGACGCCATATTTGGAAGCAGAGGCGCATACGGTCGCTGCATGTAACGCTTGTACAAAACTTGCTCTGAATTCAGTTCCAACGTAATTGCGTTAAAAAACATTTCAGTGCAGTAGTGTGGAAAAATAACACTGTTAAATGTTGGAGTGACGAAAAGACCAGGAATCGTCTAATAAGCCGCGGACCACAAAGATGAATTAGTTAATTAAATGCCAACTATATAATCAATTATTCGAATTTATATCAAAAGATCATAATTATATATATATATATATATATATATATATATAGTAGAGAGAGAGAGAGAGAGAGAGATTATACCTATAGATTGTATCTATGATTGTACCTATATAGATTATATCGCTACAAACCGCAAGCGATAAAGCGCACAGCGTTCCATGTGTATTGCTCCCCGTTATTTGTATTGCTATTGCTATGTAATTATGAGTATTAGGTCGGGTATGTCTGAATTTCGATTTCTTTATTAGATTCTATACGTTCCGCGATTCGACTATTCAGCTCATATCTACGTGCCTGCTTCCTATCTTGGTTGTGTAATGAATTTTTATCACACTGTGTTCTTTTAATGTGTAATTAGGTACTTAGAATCATATATAGCGCATTGGATAAGAAAAATACGAAAATTGCAAGAGATAAAACTCATTTAGATTTGATAACCGTGAGCTTCTGTAATCCTTTTACATTGGCAAGATCATGGAAGACTGGTATTCTTTGAATCCATGTTTTATGATCATAGGTCGTGGTGTTTGACCATTTGCGCAAGCAGTATTAAAAATAAACAATTGCATAGAGCAAGATTACCTAAATAAAGTGCAATAAGCATACACTCAGGGCTAAATTATGCGAAAATGCATTGATTTTTTTATTTTCATTCGTATTCGATGGCTAACACTACGTGCCACCTCTGCACATTTTTATGTTACTTCATCTATAGAACGATGCATGTGAACGAACAAATTTTCAAAGCGTTGTGAATGCCCGCGTACGTGTCTATAGTGTGCCGTAGCCATTTAAACACACATATACTGATGACGCCAGAGACATGATCAAACTAGCCTATTCATGGTAAAATCTTTCAGCATCAGGCTTTCCTACAGCCGTCCACTGTCAGTGCTAGTCAAAATTGCCGCGCGGTCGAAAGTAGCATTTACGCCCCGTTACATAGCCCGGGTACATTAGTGACCTCATGCAGTACGCAGCGTTCGCGCGTTTCTATTAAAAAATGCGAGGGTAACCGCGGAATTTCTCACAATTTCTCAAGGTGCTGAGAACATTTTACCAATTTAGTGGTTTCAGTTAGTCATGAATATATCGCAGTGAGTACTAACAGTAGATGCTTCGATCACTTACGTTCACCCATTCTGGACAGGCGGTCGATCACTGTAAAAAGTAGAAATGCGCTAATTTCTCCGTTTTGATTTCTGCCACACCAGCCGATGTGTAAATGGATATTTCTATATCGTTACAACAATAATTTTTATTTCACACTCGTTTTAATTGTAACACATTGCTGTAAAAAAGCGCGTCAGGGTTTGGTATTTTACTTGCACAAATTTTCAATCCATATTATCAATATAATCAAAATCTGTATTAAGCAGTTTTTATAATTTTAAAGGTAATATAAAACTTAAAGCGAAGATTTATCATATTAATTATTACTAACCGTTTTCATATATTTTCTCAACCGTTCTGATACTTACCGGTAGGTACTCCTTGACCCTTGCATAAAGCCAAATCTATATTATTAAGGCTAACATGTCATAGAACACTCGCACACCATTCTTTCTATACCAATATAGGCACCGATCTGCATTTCAAATGCGATTGTTTACATATATCATATCATTAAACCTAGAGCGCGTCACGTAACCGCGCCTGCTGTGTCCACGGCGGCAACCGTCCCTTCGGCATGGCATGGATTACTTCCCGTTACACGCGTATTTCGATTGCATAACTATGGCTTTTAGTCGCGTGTGGTTAAATTTCTATATTTTTGCACATATATATTGTTGTGATGTCATGGAAGGTTGACCTTCCCGTTATCGATCGTGCACCACGTACGGTCGTGATATTTTTACATTTTTGTATGCAGTGTTACATGTGTACAGTTGCATATATAAGGCCGCATTATCCGAATATAGTGCTGTTTACTGCTGTTCACTCATAAATATTTACTGTTCACGATATAAGATATAAGATATAATAGTTTATTTTATCACTTTCAATATCAGCAGATGCACGAATTTTTTTCACAAAATGTAAATAATTAACGTACAGTGAAGAGATGGCGAAAAGACCATACGGTCATCTAGTCAGCCAACCCATAGAGAAATTATTTAAGTATACAGGCATCTGTCATAAGAATAAGATGTATGATGAGAAATATTTGAACAAAATGTTTGTATGATAATAATATAAAGAAACAAAATTGAACATAATTGGCAATAGAACAAGCGACAGACATGAAGTTATGTACAAAATATATATGTTAGACACATATAAATGAAATACATGCAGTAATCAGTACAGTACTGACTGTACAGTAAACGAATATTTACATGGTAATAAAGAATATGCGGCATATGCGATTATGTTTTGTGTATGTTTCTTGCGTGTTATTGCTGCATAAAAATAATCTATTTATTAGCCATGATTAATGATTTCACTCTGAATTAATTATCATCGGAAGACATTTAGATGTTACACAAGAAGTGTTGAATCAGGAATAGATTTTAAATGTATATAGCTAGCTGTATATAGAGCTCATTAAGTATGCTTGCTATAATGTGGCTGTGACAGTGTGACACTGTGACAGTGACTCGAGATGGGCGTGGTTTGAATCTGAGGTTTGAATGACTCAACGTTAGGGCGTACGATGCAACAGCATACAGAAGGGAAAACAAGTGACAGCGTTCGCGTAATGGCGTCCGATTAATCACTAAACTTTGCGACCGATTGGAAAAACGGTAACTTTCATTTACCGTAAGTCGTTCATTATTTTTCTTAGTTTTAGCAAAGATAAATATGCATGTCACTGTATCTTGTGTAAGCCGTTGCCTTTTTGATGAATCGCTATTCATAGCTGCTGTTGCTTCCCGGCGTTTCGTAGAATTCCGAATTCTAGGATTTGTACTTGTAAGTTGTAACTTGTAGGCCTACGTAGGCCCTACGGTATGACAAAATTTCAATAACTTGACTAAGCCTAGGCTAGGAATAGGATTCTTGCTCCTAACTTTTAGCCAATCGACGACAGCGTTTGTATAATTGTTTTCGTTCAATTTTGCTAAACGATAAATTATCTTGGTCAAATGACACACCAGGTAAGCACCCAAATGGCAAATGACTACTAGTACTAGTACTAGTACTACTAGTACTACTACTAGTACTACTACTAGTACTAGTGCTCATAGGGTCTAGGTTCCCCAGGGTACTGCCGGAACGTACCCTGGGTACGGTCCGGTAATATACCGGAACGTACCCTGGTCACTATTTGATATGGTTAGGGTTAGGGTTGGGTTGGGGTTAGGGTTAGGGAGTAGGCGTAGTGTAACATGTCTTTTGCACGTGTCACATGGATTAGTGCGTGGAGCTAGACTGGTAGTTGTTTTAGCCATATAGTCTAGCTAGACAGAACGTCGCGCATATTGGGCGGCGGCATTGATGTTACAGGGAGTTGGATAAGCGGGTTCTAGGTTAGGCAGTTTCTAGGGTGATTGTTAAATGAGGGGAACGGTTGGAACTGGACAAAACGGGTGACATGTGTGCTCAAGATGTAGGGAGTTTTGGGCGAATATATAGGGAGAGATGTAATACTATAGGAGGGAGATTGGGGTTCTGGCCGCGGAGCTGAGCACACGCGCGTATGCGCGTGTGCGCGTTCTTTGTCTGTTTGTGCGATTGTTTGATGAGGTGGCTACACAGTTTATGAGTATTAAAGGTTGTACAGTTTAATTACCACAAGTTTGGATCTTCTTCATCATTTCTACATGAACTCGCATCCCTGTTTACAGTAGGCGACTCCCTAGACTCGTTAGTGGAGTAGGCGAGGTACGGTCCGGCATATTAGATAGTACCAGGGTACGTTTCGGTATACCGGACCGTACCCAGGTTACGTTCCGTCAGTACCCCGGGGGACATAGACCCTCTCAGCAGTACTAGTAGTAGTACTACTACCAGGAGTAAGATAATATAGCCTATAGCCGATAGGATTCTATATTATCTTACTCCTGCTACTGCTAATACTACTACTACTACTAGTACTTACCTTAGGTATCAGAAGTGATGCACAGATTTCATGTGTAATCACTCAACTGTAGTCCGAGAATTCCTGTGACCAATCGCCCCACAAACGACGATTTTGGTTCGGAATTTGGTGTGGGTTAAGGATCAGAGCAAACATTGCCTATGCAAAAACGGTGGAATTTCATCCCGATCGCCGAGTTTTAAATGGCCAAAGAGGATCGCTGAGTATTCATCGTCCCAAAACCACAATTAATAAGGGGCTATCAATCAAAGATCTGACGCATATATACGTCGACGAAATTACTGCCAGATACTTAACATGCTGCGAAGGCGAATTTATTACGAAAAACTAGCTGGTCTGGAAATTGTTATCCAGCCGACATTTGCTAAGGTAATTGTTTTTGCAAGGAGCCCGATCCAGTTTACGAAAAGAGCGAAAGCCAGGCGCTGCTCGTGCGTCATTGACCAGTAGCTAGGCGCCAATCTCATAAAACTAAATCACTTTATGTCACCCACAGACGCCCTAAAGATTCGCTACTGAATAAAAGTCTGTACACCTGTAAGCACAATTAATGAGACTGTATGTCGCTGCAGACGCGTTGTTGCACGCGAATATAGTGACTATGAGCGTCAGGTGATGCCGTTGAGCGAGCTGGTGAACATAGCGCGGCCATATTGGAGGCAGTTGGAGTGTGCGATGAAGAGAACGACAGAGAGTACATGTTGCTTGCGTCCGCGAAACGATTGCTGGGGTGACGGAGAGCTCGCCACGTTTGCGATTATTGTGTCAAAGTAAATGTGTGGCCGTATCAAGTGCGTTGAGACGCGCGCAACTCGCTGATGCCCGAACGAAGTGTCTGCACGAAGCGCGTAAGTATGAGACATCCGGTCGTGTGCGTGAGCTGCCGATGTGTGCGCGGCGCCACGTGTGCAGAAGAGGCGAAAGTCATGCGTGCGAACGCTTATCCAGTCTGTGATTACTAGCACATGTGTATGACGTATGCTCGAAAATCTGGTCTGTCACAGGGCTGTGTGGCCTTAGACTAATCGCTGAGTGATGCTGAGTGCACGCGAGTATGTGCAGGTATGAGTAGCTCGTAGTACGACGTGTGTAGCGTGAGCGCATATGCTGGACGGAGTCCAGTGTATGCTGTGAATATCGCAGTGTGTGACTGATGTGTCGCTGCACGGTCTGATGACCGGCCTAGTATGTGTATCGACGTGTCTGTCACTGAGCGCTGTGTGGGCTGAGTGTGTGTGCGTGAAGCGCCGTGATGTGTAGCGATCACTATCATCCGCGAGATAGAACCGGCTCGATGTAAGCGGGGTTCATAACTGGTCGTCGCGCGATGGTGGTTGTTGCGTGAATTGTGGTGAACGGACGTATGTACACGTCCCATCGGCGTGACGTCGATGTGTGCCCTCCCGGTGAAACGAGCTGTGCTGTAAGAAAAGACGTGTCTGCGTGACCGCGCGCATGTGTTATCGTGTGTGATGCGTGTGTGAGATGACCATGCGTTGCCGGTATGCCGATGTGCAGTCGCGACTCGTCGCGTCCTTCAATCCCTCCACTAAGCCGTTCGCTTCGACGTGCTGATGGTAGTGCGCGCCTAACGTTGTGTGTAGCACCGAGTGCTGATGTGGCGTGCAATTGACCATGAGTTTGTCTGTGTGAGGAGTAAAGGCTATGTGCAACTCAGCCGGTAGTTATGAGATATAAATATTGTAGCGAGCGAATGAATGAAAACTCTCCAATCTCAACAGCTTACGTCAGAGTAAAATATTAAAAATACTGAGCAGCACCATGAGATCGGTTTTGTATAATATTCACACAGTCCGGTAACTCATGAGATAACTGTTAGAGCCCAAGCGTACAATATACAAAAACTAAAATCGCACCAAACAGACTAAAATTATGCGCACGACGCGCATTAACGCCGCCGTTCTGCATACTCCGCAGCCAGAACCCCGAAATCTCCACCTCTAATAGTAATTCCATTTCTCGCACACCATCATACTAATGGCATCCGGGCCACGCACACGCACACACCAAAGACATTGCGGCTGCGGTGTATAAACAAAACCAATCACAAAACAAAAGCAAGACCACTCCACTGAATCATGCTGAATGAGAGCAGAAAAATTAAGAAAACACGAGTCACCACATGAGTTTTAGTCAGCGACTGTTCTATTTGCTGAATACACCGTTCCCCTGTTGTAATTGTGTGTGTTTGTGTTATTACGCGTATGCTACAGATATGCTCAACCCGTTAAAGAAACTGTATGCCTAACCTAGAACCGCTGTCAGCTGTGCGTGTTGTCTATTCCAAGCTCGTGTTGGCCCGTTGGTAATAGCTCGATTCATGCTGCCGAGCCCAAGACCACGCCCCGTTCATGCACGACTATGCGCGACGTTGCTCCTACTGACTATATGGGTCTAAAGTGTGATGACTAACTCGATGTGTGGACACATCGCATTGTGTGACGACATCCAAACTTACTTGAATCCAACAAGTGTGACACGAGTGTAGCAAACAGACACTGCCTCACAGCTGTCCACATGACTCAAAGAAAATAGTCTTCACAAAACTACTATAACAATGCATTTTGCTTTTTTTAAATTTGATTGATGTAATTGAGCGTTCTATAATCGAGGGCACACATATAGTATAAGTATAATATCACAAAATAATGAATAAACGAAGATATTATGTATAAATTTGAAATATATGAGCACATACTACCGTGGATATTCATCTTGCGCGCGAGCGGGAACATTAACACAATCGACACCCCAGTGTTTCGCTCGTAATTAACGTGAAAATTTGATAAGCGTTGACAATGCTGTCTTCGCGTATTCTTAAAGGGAGTAAATAATTATTGTACTCATTATGGACCTTAACCTAAGCGACTAACTTAAACATCCAAAATAATTTTCCGTTTACTGTAAATAACATCCCTCACTAAAGTGAGAGATAAAAATGTTAAACCGCATCCCTCAAATCAAAGACGCCACTCAAACCCGTCTGGAGACGGGTAATAGCTATTAAATAATGAAATATTAAGAAGAATAACACCTAGAGAGTCCGAAACGGCATTAAGAATGTCACGGGAATAAATCAAACTCGACTATTAGCGGCGGTATCAGCACTAATGGAAATCACTTCTCATTCACGACGAAAAAGACCTAAAGACTATCCCACTAATCGGCATACTAGCTGCACCCACTAAACATATTGCAGAGGTGTAATTTATTGAGGTCACACGCACAGTCCCAACTCTGGCTGTTTAATAATAAAATGATTGTAAATAAACAACCTCTCAATACAGCAATACACAATATATACACAATATAAAGCATATCGAAAGCATCTCGAGCATTCGTAAGATCAACAATTTCCCGGCGCAACCACTATCCGACATCATGCTTTTAAGGGCTAATTGAAAACCAGAAGGCCTAGTACAAACCTTACCTTACTAGCCCTTCGGCTAACTTGCATATTGTCCTTATTTCTACCCCCTGACTGTAAATATATGCTTCAGTCCTTGGTGTTGAAAAAGGCAGGCGAGTGAAAAATCACACACCTTGGCTGCCGCAGGTCACGAGGCAAACTAAGGGGGTTCGGGGAAAAAAAATTGAAATCTAGACTTCATGAAATGCCATTTCCAGTATTTTGGGATAAAAATTACTCTGCATTTGTACTCTTAATTTGGACATTTTTAGGTGATTTTTATTTCATCTAACAAAATATCAACTTCTTGAACATATTGATGGATAACTTGAATCACACATTAAGCATGTTTAGTCAAAAAGGAACAACACTCAATTTCAAAGCAGACTATTAAAACTTTAATAGTATTTGCAACATCATAATCATTCAGTCACTGTTGCATTTTTGGCAATTTGAGGTATTTCAGTTTCATTTCAAGAAAACATACATGTTTTGCAATAAAAACTTCACTAAAATCCTTAATCAGGCTTTTTAATTTCATTGTCAGCTGCATCTTCATCACCAGTCTCGATCTGCTGCTGTAGCAATTGAATACAGTAACAGTCATATTCATCATGTATGGCTCGCGTATGATAGGCCGGACGGTTGTTGTTTGGTTTTGGGTGGGTTCGGTGCAAAGCAGTCAACGCAGGCAGTAGGCTTGTGAGTTACGACGGTCGGAGGTGTGTATACGGTTCAGTGTGTAACGGAAGAATACCAGAGTCAACAAATACGTCAAGCTTTCGTCGGTGATAAAATAAATGATGAGCGGATGAATTGATGTTAAAGACTGCCGTTGGTATAGATAGCGTTACAACTGTCGTTATAAACAGTGAACCGACTTCCGGCAATGTCCGTGATATTTACAACCGTTTGCGTTTATCTTCGAGTTCATAAGTTGAATTAATGAAAAACAAAACACGAAGAGAGGTATGCGTTTTGATAATGCTTAGATGCGCATTTTTTCGCATTTCTCCTGATCAATCGAGGCGCGCGACGGCGCGCCTTAAAACACAAGGACTGATGCTTGCTCGCGTTGGTCAATATTATTTCAATTTAAAAATTTGTTGCTAACATTGTCCCTCCGACATGCATCGGCCATCCATCGTGCATCCAACTGCATTGTGGGAAACATGCCAAACATGCCATTGTGGAACATGGAACATCATGTTCAAATCATCATGTGTCATCATGTGCCAAACATCATGTGTCAAACATGGCCAACATGGAAACATGCCATTGTGGGAAAATATCCCACAATGCAGTTGGATGCACGATGGATGGCCGATGCATGTCGGAGGGACAATGTTAGCAACAAATTTTTAAATCGAAATACGACTAAGGTAAAAGAGTAGGACAAGTGTACTTACCAACGCGAGCAAGCATATATAAGTTATCCAGTTTTCGATATATGTGCGTCAGATCTTGATTGATAGCCCCAATTGTGAGTTTGGAGCGGATGAAACAGCGATCCTCGCGGGGATCGGAGAAATTCCACGTTTTGCATAGGCAAGTTGCTCTGACCTAACCCACACCAAATCCACCAAATATCGTCGGTGTGGCATTGGTCAGAGGAATCTCGACTACATCAACTGATGCACAGACTTCCGTATATCAAGGAATGATGCAAAAACCCTAGCCCCAGCCCTAACCCTAACCCTACAGGGAACAATTTCCAGCCAAAAATTTGCATAGCAAATGTGCTACAAAATAAATTTTGCATAGCAATTGGATAAATTTGTATAGCATTTTTTCAGACAATCACAGTGCAAATTTACACCGCACGTGCATGCTTGGTGTTTATCGTGTCGGCCTGTGACAGGCACAGCTAGCTTAGACACACTAGCGATTCTGTACGCTTGCCCGGCAGCGGTTTAAAAGCGTGCGAGCTTGGCACTCGCCCGCTCGCCAATGTCGAGTGAAAATAATATATCGGGCGAGTCAAAGCTAAAAACTGACTCGCCCGTGTTGGCGAGTAAAAATAATTGTCTAAAGCTTTAATCAAATGTTGGTTCCTTACGTTATATATATATCCAAACATTGATGAAATACAGTTCTAGCGATTGTGAAGGGGGCTATCCGATCCTCGACCCCGACATCCTCACTTTATATTATCAAAGGTCGCCGAAGAAAGCAGCCCCGCGAGAGCTGCAGCGCCAGCACAGCGTGGCTGTGTATACGTGCCTGGGGCGGCATATTGATTGATGTACGGGGAGGGGGGGGGAGTGCAAGATTGTTTAAAAGTCACGTTGGCCTTGTGTTAACAAGTCAATAAAATCGGCGTAACGTGGCATTTCATTGACGGGGCAAAGCAGCCGCGAGAATAAAGTAAATTGTAAACATGTAGTTTCCGTTTACATCTCGCATGGGCTGCATCGCACAACTGCGATTCCATAAAAAATATGCGTAGCAAATGCTGAAAATACATCGCGAATTGCGATGCGATACCGGGAAAATTATTCCCTGCCCTAACACACTTCGTGATACCTAAGCCAAGGTTATACTTTATGACTTAGGCTTAGGGTTTTTGCATCATTCCTTGATATACATGGAAAGTCTGTGCATCAGTTGATGATACACAGAAATCTGTGCAGCACTTTGTGATACCTAAGGTGCCTAAAGTGGATTTGCACCTGTTTGATTATACTGACCTTACTCAGTTACTGTGCTAAGACAAGCGTAAATTGTTTTTAATTTAATAAGAATATTACTAAATATTGTTTATTAGTTCCACGTAATTTATAGATATAGCCAGGGATGTTTGAATAAATATAACGATGTGAAAAGTAGAGAAGCATCGTTTTACATGATAAGTCGTAAGGTATTTTAAAACGATTATTTCTCAAATAAACCCAAAAATAAATTTGGACAAATTTATACTCACTTTTTCAGCGTAAATGTTGCTAATCCTTTTTAGAATAAAAAATTATTGGCTCAGGTAGAGAGCATGTCCAGTAATAAACATTATCCTATCCTATCACCGTCCTGGACATCATCTCTATCCTTGAACCAAATTATTTATGAGTTCCTACTGTTATAGGCTATAAAACAGCAGATGAACACCAAACGTCCTGCCGCTATCATGAGATTCGCGATAATGTAATGTTCAAATGGTCCCACAATGGAAGCGTACGTAGTTACACGTGACACAAATATTTATAGACTGGTACCTATATCAAAATGTACATAAAGGTAATTAACCTAGTGTAGAGACAGGGTTCCGGTCTCACGAGAGCAAAAATCAAGCACTAGGGCTGTTGACATATATGTAAACAAACTCATTTGAAATGCAGATGGGTGCACATATTGGTGGAAAGAAAGTTGTGATAGTATTCTATGACATGTTAGCCTTACTATATACATTTGGCATCATGCAAGAAATGTTAAATATCAGAACGATTGATAAAATATGAAAACGGTTGGTGAAAACATGAGAAATCATTGCTTTAACACCTTGGCTTTTATAATTGATTATCCCCGAGCAGCACAATTTTATGATCTAGTTTTAGGATAGATGGTATATTTGTAGTGATGTGCGCACTATACGTTTTAACTATATTTTTCATACATATTTGGAAGTGTCTAAACAACCGGATCCGGTTTCAGAGTCCTGAAAACTAAACAACCGGCTCTCTTCTCTGATTGGCTAATTTTGTCACTTATTTATTTTATTTAATATTATTTTTGGCTAATTTTATTTTATTTTAGAATCAGGGATAGGGTTAGGATTAGGGTTAGGGTTAGGGTATATATCCACTACTTTCAAGTAGGTCTGAGTGGCTCAGTGGTAGAGCTTTCGCTTCGTGATACTGATAGTAAGGACCGTGTTCGAACCCCATAAGACGTTTGTATTTTTCTCTGCTTTGTGTATTTCTTTGTATTTTATTTGTTTCTGCATTTATTTGTTCTGTAACTTTTGTTTATGTTCGGAATTAAATATATTTCTTTATGTTTTGCATTAAACATTGTCCTATTATATATTTGTCCTGTTATGTTCGGAAACTGACCAATCAGAGAAGAGAGCCGGTTGTTTAATTTTCAAGACTCCAAAACCGGGTCCGGTCGTTTAGACACTGCCTACATATTTTGCATGCAAATATGTTCCCTATTTCTGTTGCCAGTTGCATTTCAGTTTTGAGATGGGTAATTTGCTCAGGCTACTGACCCGAGAGGAACTGCCAAAGCCAGACATATTTGTCGATTTCGAAAGTGAGTACTCTGATGGATTGATAAAATTAATTTTCTTTTACAGGTAATTTGTCAGGTCTAAAAACCAATGTGATAAACTAAAATGCAGTTCATGCTTAATTATGTCCGATGAATTTTATTGTGTGCATCGTTCGTGTGATTTCAAGGTATCTAGACACCAATGTGACGAGAGAAAACCTGGCGGCATCGAGTCGCTACCGTTTTTGTGCCATTGTCGTGGTTATCATCGTGGCGATTGTTGTGGCGATTGTCATGGGGATTGTCATGGCAACCATCATGGTAATTGTCGTGGCAACCATCATGGTGACTGTCGTGGCGATCATCATGATGATTGTTGTGGCGATCGTCACGGTGACTGTCATGGTAATCATCACGGTGATTTTCGTGGCGATCATCATGGTGACTGTCGTGGCGATCGTCATGGTGGTTGTTATGGCGATCATCATGGTGATTGTTGTGGCGATCGTCACGGTGATTGTCGTGGCGATCGTCACGGTGATTGTCGTGGCGATCGTCACGGTGATTGTTATGGCGATCATCATGGTGACTGTCGTGGCGATCATCATGGTGATTGTTATGGCGATCATCATGGTGACTGTCGTGGCGATCATCATGGTGATTGTTATGGCGATCATCATGGTGACTGTCGTGGCGATCATCACGGTTACTCCCTAGACTCGTTAGTGGAGTAGGCGAGGTACGGTCCGGCATATTAGATAGTACCAGGGTACGTTCCGGTATACCGGACCGTACCCAGGTTACGTTCCGTCAGTACCCCGGGGGACATAGACCCTCTCAGCAGTACTAGTAGTAGTACTACTACCAGGAGTAAGATAATATAGCCTATAGCCGATAGGATCCTATATTATCTTACTCCTGCTACTACTAATACTACTACTAGTACTTACCTTAGGTATCAGGAAGTGATGCACAGATTTCTGTGTATCATCAACTGTAGTCCGAGATTCCTGTGACCAATGCCCACACCGACGATTTTGGTGGATTTGGTGTGGGTTAGGTCAGAGCAACTTGCCTATGCAAAACGTGGAATTTCTCCGATCCCGCCGAGGATCGCTGTTTCATCGCTCCAAACTCACAATTGGGGCTATCAATCAAGATCTGACGCATATATATCGAAAACTGGATAACTTAACAGGGGTCGAATTAGCCGCTAGCCCGGGACTAGTAATTGTTTGGAAGGGCTAGTTAAAGGCCAGGGTGGCTTGCCCGTCGGGCAAGCAAGTAAACAATTCCAGACCAGATTTCGTAATTCGTGAAATGAACGTGTGTGCGTGAGCGCGTGAGCGCGTGTGTGCGTGAGCGCGTGTGTGCGCGAGCGCGTGTGTGCGTGAGCGCATACATGTGTGCGTGTGTGCTACGTGTGTGCGTGAGCGCGTGTGTGTGATATGTGTGCGTATGTGCGTGAGCGCGTGTGTGCGACGTGTGTGCAGGAGCGCGTGTATGACACGTGTGTGCGTGAGCGCGTGTGTGCGTGAGCGCGATGTGCGTGAGCGCGTATGTGCGACGTGTGTGCGTGAGCGCATGTGTGTGACGTGTGTATGTGCGGCGTGTGTGCCTGAGCGCGTGTGCGTGTGTGTGCGGCGTGTGTGCGTGAGTGCGTATGTACGACGTGTGTGCGTGAGCGCATGTGTGCGGCGTGTGTGCGTGAGCGCGTGTGTGCGATGTGTGTGCGTGAGCGCGTGTGTACGACGTGTGTGCGTGAGCGCGTGTGTGCGATGTGTGTGCGTGAGCCCGTGTGTGCGACGTGTATGCGTGAGCGCGTGTGCGTGACGTGTGTGCGATGTGTGTGCGTGTGTGTGCGACGTGTGTGCGTGAGCGCGTGTGTGCGATGTGTGTGCGTGAGCGCGTGTGTGCGACGTGTGTGCGTGAGCGCGATGTGTGTGTGTGTGTGTGTGTGCGTGCGTGCGTGCGTGCGTGTGCGTGCGATCGCCCGTTCATGCGTTCCTTCGTGCGTGTGTGCGCGTGTGTGTGCCCGTGTGTGTGCGTGTGCATTGCATTTGTCCGTGTGAGAGTGCATGTGGCAACTCGCGTATGTATATTTGTACCGTATCAAATTATCTCCGGTGACCATATATATAATATACATCCATGGGTGGTTTTATTCTACGGTTTCATATATGACCGGACGAGTAGATGAGTGCACATATAGATAATAACGATAGGTAACGGTTTATAAATTATAAGCAACCGGTTTTTGGCGAGCGGGAACATTAACACAAGTGACCGGTTGCGGAAACGATTAGACTGGCATGCTGTCTTCGCGTACTAAGATTCATTCTCATGTAATTAGCACAATGTAGAATGTCGGGGACCCGTCTATAGTGCTGGTATCAACATGGAAACCTCCATCATCGAAGACCTGTTCCACTAATGGTCTACAGCTGGACCACTAATACAGTGTTATAGTCACACGCACAGTCACTCTGGCTGTTTTAATAATAAAATGATTGTAAATAAACAAACCTCTCAATACAGCAATACACAATATATACACAATATAAAGCATATCGAAAAGCATCTCGGAGCATTCGTAAGATCAACAATTTTCCCGCGCAACCACTATCGACATCATGCTTTTAAGGGCTAATTGAAAACCAGAAGGCCTAGTACAAACCTTACCTTACTAGCCCTTCGGGCTAACTTGCATATTGTCCTTATTTCTACCCCTGACTTAAATATATGCTTCAGTCCTTGTGTTTTGAAAAAGGCAGGCGAGTGAAAAATCACACACCTTGGCTTGCCGCAGGTCACGAGGCAAACTAGGGGGGTTCGGGGAAAAAAATTGAAATCTAGACTTCATGAAATGCCATTTCCAGTATTTTGGGATAAAAATTAGCTCTGCATTTGTACTCTTAATTTGGACATTTTTTAGGTGATTTTTATTTCATCTAACAAAATATCACTTCTTGAACATATTGATGGATAACTTGAATCACACATTTAGCATGTTTAGTCAAAAAGGAACAACACTCAATTTTTCAAAGCAGACTATTAAAACTTTAATAGTATTTGCAACATCATAATCATTCAGTCACTTGTTTGCATTTTTGGCAATTTGAGGTATTTCAGTTTCATTTCAAGAAAACATACATGTTTTGCAATAAAACTTCACTAAAATCCTTAATCAGGCTTTTTAATTTTCATTGTCAGCTGCATCTTCATCACCAGTCTCGATCTGCTGTAGCAATTGAATACAGTAACAGTCATATTCATCATGTATGGCTCGCGTATGATAGGCCGGACGGTTTTGGTTTTGGTTTTGGGTGGGTTTCGGGTGGCAAAGCAGTCAACGCAGGCAGTAGGCTTTGTGAGTTACGACGGCGAGAGTGTGTATAACGGTTCAGTGTGTAACGGAAGAATACCAAGAAGTAACAAACGTCAAGCTTTCGTCGGTGATAAATAAATGATATGAGCGGATGAATTGATGAAGAGCTGCCGTGTGAGTAAGCGTTACAACTGTCGTTATAAACATGTGAACGACTTCCGGCAATGTCCGTGATATTTACAAACCGTTTGCCGTTTATCTTCGAGTTCATAAGTTGAAATTAAATGAAAAACAAAACACGAAGAGAGGTATGCGTTTGATAATGCTTAGATGCGCATTTTTTCGCGATTTCTCCTGATCAATCGAGGCGCCGACGGCGCGCCCTTAAACACAAGAGCCTGATGTTGCTCGCGTTGGTCAATATTATTTCAATTTAAAAATTTGTTGGCTAACATTGTCCTCCGACATGCATCGGCCATCCATCGTGGCATCCAACTGCCATTGTGGGAAACATGCCAAACATGCCATTTGTGGAACATGGAACATCATGTTCAAATCATCATGTGTCATCATGTGCCAAACCATCATGTTCAAACTATGGCCAACATGGAAACATGCATTAGTGGAAAATATCCCACAAAGCAGTTGATGCACGATGGATGGCCGATGCATGTCGGAGGGACAATGTTAGCAACAAATTTTTAAATCGAAATACGACTAAGGTAAAAGAGTAGGAACAAGTGTACTTACCAACGCGAGCAAGCATATATAGTTATCCAGTTTCGAATATATGTGCGTCAGATCTTGATTGATAGCCCCAATTGTGAGTTTGGAGGCGTGAAAACAGCGATCCTCGGCGGGGATCGGAGAAATTCCACGTTTTGCATAGGCAAGTTGCTCTGACCTAACCCACACCAAATCCTACCAAAATCGTCGGTGTGGGCATTGGTCAGAGGAATCTCGACTACATCAACTGATGCACAGACTTCCGTATATCAAGGAATGATGCAAAAACCCTAGCCCCAGCCCTAACCCTAACCCTACAGGGAACAATTTCCAGCCAAAAATTTGCATAGCAAATGTGCTATACAAAATAAATTTTGCATAGCAATTGGATAAATTTGTATAGCATTTTTTTCAGACAATCACAGTGCAAATTTACACCGCAGTGCATGCTTGGCTGTTATCGTGTCGGCCTGTGACAGGCACAGCTAGCTTAGACACACTAGCGATTCTGTACGCCTGCCCGGCAGCGTTTTAAAACGCGTGCGAGCTTGGCACTCGCACCGCCGCCAATGTCGAGTGAAAATAATATATCGGGCGAGTCAAAAGCTAAAACTGACTCGCCGCGTGTTGGCGAGTAAAAATAATTGTCTAAAGCTTTAATCAAATGTTGGTTCCTTACGTTATATATTATATCCAAACATTGATGAAATACAGTTCTAGCGATTGTGAAGGGCGGCTATCCGACTCCTCGACCACGACATCCTCACTTTATTATCAAAGGTCGCCGAAGAAAGGGCAGCCCGCGAGAGCGTGCAGCGCCAGCACAGCGTGGCTGTGTATACGTGCCTGGCGGCATATTGATTGATGTACGGGGAGGGGGGGGGAGTGCAAGATTGTTTAAAGTCACGTTGGCCTTGGTGTAACAAGTCAATAAAATCGGCGTAACGCTGGCATTTCATGACGGGGCAAAGCAGCCCGAGAATAAAGTAAATTGTAAACATGTATGTTTCCGTTTACATCTCGCCATGGGCTGCATCGCACAACTGCGATTCATAAAAAATATGCGTAGCAAATGGCTGAAAATACATCGCGAATGCGATGCGATACGGGAAAATTATTCCCTGCCCTAACACACTTCGTGATACTAAGAGCCAGGTTAACTAGCAACTTTAATGACTTAGGCTTAGGGTTTTGCATCATTCCTGGATATACATGGAAAGTCTGTGCATACAGTTGTGATTGATAACACGAAATCTGTGCAGCACTTTGTGATACCTAAGGTGCCTAAAGTGGATTTGCACCTGTTTGATTATACTGACCTTACTCAGTGTTACTGTGCTAAGACAAGCGTAAATTGTTTTAATTTAAATAAAGAATATTTACTAAATATTGTTTATTAGCCTTTCCACGTAATTTATAGATATAGCCAGGGATGTTTGAATAAATATAACGATTGAAAAGTAGAGAAGCATCGTTTTACATGAATAAGTCGTAAGGTATTTTAAAACGATTATTCTCAAATAAACCCAAAAAATAAATTTGGACAAATTTATACTCATTTTCAGCGTAAATGTGCTAATCCTTTTAGAATAAAAAATTATTGGGCTCAAGGTAGAGAGCATTCCAGTAATAAACATTATCCTATCCTATCACCGTCCTGGACATCAAATTCTATCCTTGACCAAATTATTTATGAGTTCCTACCTGTTATAGGCTATAAAAACAGCAGATGAACACCAAAACGTCCTGCCCGCTATCATGAGATTCGGCGATAATGTAATGTTCAAAATGGTCCCACAATGGAAGCGTACGTAGTTAAGCACTTGACACAAATATTTATAGCTGGTACCTATATCAAAATGTACATAAAGGTAATTAACCTAGTGTAGAGACAGGGTTTCCGGTCTCACGAGAGCAAAATTCAAGCACTAGGCTGTTGACATATATGTAAACAAACTCATTTGAAATGCAGAATGGGGTGCACATATTGGTGAAAGAAGAATTGTGATAAGTATTCTATGACATGTTAAGCCTTACTATATACATTTGGCATCATGCGAAGGAAATGTTAAATATCAGAACGATTGATAAAATATGAAAACGGTTGGTGAAAAACATGAGAATCATTGCTTTAACACCTTGGCTTTTATAATTGATGTATCCCCGAGCAGCACAATTTGTATGATCTAGTTTAGGATAGATGGTATATTTGTAGTGATGTGCGCACTATAACGTTTTAACTATATTTTTCATACATATTTGGAAGTGTCTAAACAACCGGATCCGGTTTCAGAGTCCCTGAAAACTAAACAACCGGCTCTCTTCTCTGGATTGCTAATTTTGTCACTTATTTATTTTATTTAATATTATTTTTGGCTAATTTATTTTATTTTAGAATCAGGGATAGGGTTAGGATTAGGGTTAGGGTTAGGTATTATCCACTACTTTCAAGTAGGTCTGAGTGCTCAGTGGTAGAGCTTTCGCTTCGTGATACTGATAGTGAAGGACCGTGTTCGAACCCCATAAGACGTTTGTATTTTTCTCTGCTTTGTGATTTTTTGTATTTTATTTGTTTCTGCATTTATTTGTTCTGTAACTTTTGTTTATGTTCGGAATTAAATATATTTCTTTAATGTTTTGCATTAAACATTGTCCTATTATATATTTGTCCTGTTATGTTCGAAACTGACCAATCAGAGAAGAGAGCCGGTTGTTTTATTTTCAAGACTCCAAAACCGGGTCCGTCGTTTAAGACACTGCCTAACATATTTTGGCATGCAAATATGTTCCCTATTTCTGTTGCCAGTTGCATTTCAGTTTTGAAGTGGGTAATTTGCTCAGGCTACTGACCCGCAGAGGAACTGCCAAAGCCAGACATATTTGTCGATTTCGAAAGTGAGTACTCTGATGGATGATAAAATTAATTTTTCTTTTAGAGGTAATTTTGTCAGGTTCTAAAAACCAATGTGATAAACTAAAATGCAGTTCATGCTTAATTATGTCCGATGAATTTTATTGTGTGGCATCGTTCGTGTGATTTCAAGGTATCTAGACACCAATGTGACGAGAGAAAAACCTGGCGGCATTGAGTCGCTACGTTTTTGTGCCATTGTCGTGGTTATCATCGTGGCGCTTGTTGTGGCGATTGTCATGGTGATTGTCATGGCAACCATCATGGTGATTGTCGTGGCAACCATCATGGTGACTGTCGTGGCGAATCATCATGATGATTGTTGTGTGCCGATCGTCACGGTGACTGTCATGGTAATCATCAACGTGATTTTCGTGGGCGATCATCACGGTAACTGTCGTGGCGATCGTCATGGTGATTGTTATGGCGATCATCATGGTGACTGTCGTGGCGATCGTCATGGTGACTGTCGTGGCGATCGTCACGGTGATTGTCGTGGACGATCGTCACGGTGATTGCTTATGGCGATCAATCCATGGTGACTGTCGTGGCGATCATCATGGTGATTGTTATGGCGATCATCATGGTGACTGTCGTGGCGATCATCACGGTAACTGTCGTGGCGATGCGTCATGCGTGATGTGTTTATGGCGATGCATCATATGGTGATCCATGGTCGTGGGCGATCGTCATGGTGACTGTCGTGCGATCGTCACGGTGGATTGTCGTGGCGATCGTCACGGTGATTGTCGTGGCGATTGTCATGGTGACTGTCATGGCGATCGTCATGGTGACTGTCGTGGCGATCGTCATGGTGATTGTCGTGGCGATCCTCATGGTGACTGTCGTGGGTGGCGATCGTCACGGTGATTGTCGTGGCGATTGTCACGGTGATTGCCGGTGGCGATCATCGTGGTGATTGTCGTGCCGATCATCACGGTGACTGTCGTGGCGATCGTCATGGTGATTGTCGTGGCGATCCTCATGGTGACTGTCGTGGCGATCGTCACGGTGATTGTCGTGGCGATTGTCACGGTGATTGCCGTGGCGATCATCGTGGTGATTGTCGTGCCGATCATCACGGTGACTGTCGTGGCAACCATTACAGTGATTGCTGTGGCGATCATCATGGCCGTCGTTCTGAAGATTGTGGTGATTGTCGTCATGTGGTGCAACTTGCTCGGGTCTTCTGCAGATGCTGCGCCTACAGAGATTGAGCGAGAGACTTTCTACGTGGTGGACGCGGTACTGCGGCATGCTGACACAGTACTGCTAGACCTGCAGCAGTACAAGGGTGCCATCAATGAAATACGAGAGGTAACACAGCATCCATGCTAGTGGTGTGGGGGAGGAGAACATGGGAGAGGTAGTGCAGTGACTGTGCTAGTGGTGTGGGGGAGGAGAAACAATGGGAGAGGTAGTGCAGTGTCTGTGCTAGTGGTGTGGGGGAGGAGAACATGGGAGAGGTAGTGCAGTGACTGTGCTAGTGGTGTGGGGGAGGAGAACATGGGAGAGGTAGTGCAGTGACTGTGCTAGTGGTGTGGGGGAGGAGAACATGAGAGGTTGCACGGCTGTTTATGTTGCCAATGTGGTATCTACCATCTTCTCAGGAATATCTGAAGTGTAAATGTGTCGGCATTGAGGTTTAAGTAACTTTTCTGTAATGTATTTCATGCATGAGCATCGAACTATATTTTAAAATCAAGGCTGCCACTTTTAATCAAGCAGAGAAGTGTTGGTGTTCACCTCACAGAAGCGTACTGTATCACGCCAAAATAGCACCCGCGACATTGTTAAAAATCGTGTTTTTTACGTTGAATCGTGATCTCCACTGTACGCAATTGCGAGCGCTTGTCTGGAACAGTGATGCTACTAAAGGCTAACTGTTGCCGGCAGCACACAGTAGTTCGCTAGGGAGCTCAGTAGTTACTGTGTTTTGCGTTAACTTAGACGAGAGTTTTTCGCGTAGGGTAAGTCAGGTTAAACCGTTTAAACTCCCAGCATGAAAAAAGCGAACGCTATTGTTTCAGGCAATAGCGAAACCGACGGATGAAGGCCACCAGGACAGGGCATGGCAGAAAGTTCTTCCTCTCGTCTCGCGTCTAAAGAACTACTATGAGTTCTCTCTGAAGCTAGGTTTGTATCAACCCTCTCCCCTGCCTGCTGACGTCCCTCTTCATGGTAGCCCTCGAACTCTTCCCTCCCTCCTTCCAACTTCCTCGTCCTCTCTCTTCCCCTCATCTCCTCCATCTTTGGTGCTTTTATTTTAGATAAGTAAATCAGAGAATCATGATAATACGTGTTTTCCGAGTTAATTCGTTTTTGCCGACCATGTCTATTATATATGGTTGTGGCTGCATTGCTTCTAATCAATCATCTTCACATTGCTAATAATTGTATGCTGATATATAAGCTCATATAATGCAACTCGTAGTGTGGTACATCATCTAACCTCTTGGTATCGAGTATGAACTCCATAACAGGTATAACTGAAATCAAACGGAAGGCAAACTTATTTCTTAACCCGAACCCTATCTCTAATCATGATTCATAGCCATCATTCCTGACCCTAGCTGTAACCCTAACCTTTGTTCCTTCTCCAAGAGCACTTATAGCCTGGCGGCCCGCCAGACGATACCCCCCGCCAGGCTATCGTCGAGCCTCGCCATCCTAAAATGCACCCGCCACTTTAAATATCATAGCCCCCGGACCCCCCTAGCATGCAAACCGCCTTCGGCGATTTGCAACTAGGACCGTAAAGGCAGCACCCGCCATGCTATAAGGAAAAAGCTTGGAGAACCCTGTAACCCTAACTCTAATCTTTATTGCCGACCCTATCCGTAATGTGTATTATAGCCTTATCCCTGATGTGAACTCTTACCCTAATCTTAATTTCTGACCCTGACCCCAACCCTAACTTTTGTGGCTGACCCTAACCTTAACCAGAATTATAGCCCTAACTACACTTCCTATCCGTTGTTCTTTGCTGTTACCTTGCTGTAGTTCCAAGCATGTAGCTGCTGTTACAGACTTCACACTCTACGTGGCTCTTTCCCGTGAGCTAGCCACCTTGCATTTGCAGTGAGGTTCGAACCACGCTAGGTGGCACTGTGCACTCGATGACGACCGTATCTTGTATTCTCCGCTCACAGAGGTTGTTGTTCCGAGGCTACTATGGGATCTGTGCAGTGGGTCACTGACGCCACACGAACATCTTGAGCAGCAGCAGGCTCTAGCCAAACAGTTCGCCGAGATCATCCACTTCACACTGAAATTCGATGACCTAAAGGCACGTAGAGGGAAAACTTCACCCTTTTCTTCTTTTAGCATTTCCTTTTTGAATTAGAACCATTGCACGTGCTCTTTCTCTCTTTGTGGACGTCGTCCGCTTCACGCTGAAATTCGGTGACGTAAGGGCACGTAAGGGGAAAGTTCCCTGTATTTTAAGATGAGTTTATCATTAAAAATAAAGAACTATATTCATAGTTGCATTACTAGCAGTTCCTCAGTGTAATTAACCAGAAATTTCTTGGGGTGGAGGGGAAAGTGGGAGTCTTTTCACGAATTTAAGAAAAAACGTTTTCAACATGTATTATAGATTGCGATTTTTGTGTACATAGTCGTTGTCATTCGACGAATGGTGGTGTGGTGCTTGCAGGCACTTTGCTGACTCCTGTTTGTTTAAAGTGATTACGTCACCGTAATTAGGGAAAGTAAAAAAATTATGTCCACTTTTTCACAAAATGTAAGTAATTCTGTTCACTTTTTGTGGTTAAATTGCTGCATTATACTTCCTATTTTACTATATTGTTTGAAGTAAACATACACTCGTGACTCATACATAGCCCATAGCAAGCAATTCATGTCAGGATCATAATATCAAATCATCCAGGTTTTGTGGATTTTTCACTAGTTGAGAAACAAGTGAATCATCTATCTTATCATCTAAGAATTTGAGGATACATTTAGTCCTGTTAGTTCCTGTACTTACTTTTAATGTAAAAAAATGGCAACAAAATTTTTACAAATATACACCATAGAAAATTCGTGACGTAGTCAATTTAAGCCCATGCTTGATGTTACAGATGAGAAATCCTGCTGTGCAGAATGACTTCAGCTACTACCGACGTACCGTGAGCCGATCACGCATGACCAACATTGTAAGTGGCATCTCAGCAATCCAGGGGTCGAAATTAACACGGGGTCAAAACTTCCACGTTTTTTTGCCGTTTATCTTTCTGAATTGACTTAAACGGGAATCAGTGTGACTCTTTGAAAAGTCTGCCATACATTACCACGAATTGTAGAATATTGAATACGCTATTTCTCTCAGTGTTGGGGTACAGTAGATCATTTGGTATTTAATGTACAGCAAACGATAGTTTATGTCATTCCAGCAGGCATTTCGATAAATTTTGTGCGTCAACTCTATTATTAGTTCTAATGTTCAGACTGCAGACCCCTCTTTTGGTTACACACTCCCTCTCTCTAAATCAAAAGTTTACATGCGCCCGCTGTGGCATGTCCTCTGCAGTGGTTGGTAGCTTCAGAGATCGCCCCCATGCGAGGGTGAGCACCCGTTCTATTTACCGAGTAGCCCTCGCGTTCGCTTCCCGGCAGTCGTCTGTCCGCGCGGATGAGCGTCTAGCAGACGAGTCGCGCTCACGGCTCACATGTCGTCGGCCTCCCGTCGTGCGCGTGTTTGCTTCCCTCCTGTCGTTATCTATCAGACATCACAGGTTATCCACCGGCGCGCACTAGGCGAACGAGATGTACAGTAGTCACCGGGCAGGAGGGGGAGGGGAGGGAGGGCGGGCGAGGACGAGGAGGGGGGCAGGCGAGGGCGGGGAGGGGGAAGGCGGGCGGGCGGTTGAGGTGATGGAAGGCGGGCAGGGGAGGGGCGTGCGAGGGGGGGGGGGAGTAGTCATCGTTGCCACACGCCGCAGCAACGTAGACGAGCAGGCTCGCAGCGATTCAATTCCGGTGCAGCAGCGCGCGAGGGAGGCTGGTGCGAGCGCATCCACTGGGAATTGATAAGCGAAGGAATTTTGTGTTGCGACGAGTCGTGCGATTGCCCGCACGCGATAGCGAAACTCGGCGAATTGCTATTGATCCCCGAAGGATGTTCTCGAAATTATATTCGAGCAATCTGCAAGTGTTCGATCGTGGCTAGAGTAGGAAGAACGGGAGTGCAAGAGAGAGAGAGAAGCAGGATAAAGGAAAGGGAGAGGGCAGGGGGAGGATGAGTAAGAGGAGCAGAGAGGGAGGGAGGGGGGAAACTATGTCTCTATATCTTAGCTAGATCTATATGTCTAACTCTATTTTCTATGCTCCGTGTCTCAACTACGTTTCTGTCTCAATTCTACCATCTATGCTCTTATGTCTATATCTCATTTGTGACTATCATTGTCTCAACTCTACTCTCTATGCTCTATTTCTCATTTGCATCTCTATGTCTCAGCTCTGCTATCTACGTCTCTGTGTCTCAGCGATGTGTCTCAGCGACGTGTCTCTGTGTCTCAGCTCTAATATCTATGTCTCTGTGTCTCAGCTCTAACATCTACGTCTCTGTATCTCAGCGACGTGTCTCTGTGTCTCAGCTCTAATATCTACGTCTCTGTGTCTCAGCGACGTGTCTCTGTGTCTCAGCTCTAATATCTACGTCTCTGTATCTCAGCGACGTGTCTCTGTGTTCTCCTCCCCCACACCACTAGCACAGCACTGCACTACCTCTATTCACACTAGCACAGTCACGCACTACCTCTCCCATGTTCTCCTCCCCCACACCACTAGCACAGCACTGCACTACCTCTATTCACACTAGCACAGT